AAAAAAATAGTTACTTAAAATCCTTGACCGGCCGACCGACCGAGCACTTATGTCATTCAAGTATTTTTGTAATATGCCGACCGACCGACCGGATGCCTGACCGACCAACCGACCGACCGACCGACCGAGCACTTATGTCACTGAGCCAGAAAAACCCTAATAATTAAATATGCATGAAAATTGAGTGAACATTTATAAAAAGAATGCATTACTATAGTAAAAACAACTCACATATGCGCTAACAAAGTTAATTGCCATTATACGTATAATGGTTTGGTATGAAACTTGTTGGTATGAAACCGATCTTATATGGAACTTTCAAGACCTCAACAAATAAAATATGTGCTTTGACATTTGACAGCTGTCATACTCAAATTTGATTATATGAATAGTTTGACAGAAGAAGCGGTAACTATAAGCATCGCGGTAACTATAAGCATATTTATTGTGCGTTCGATTTCAACAACTGCAGTAAACATGATTTGAGGTTTGTATTATTTTAATTTTTTTATGTTTTTGTCAAAATAAAGAATAGAAAATGTATAACTACATAAATCTATAGGAATATTCATACCACCAGCCGTTCGCTGTAATTTCAATGCAACCAATAACATACGAGTGACGAGCGTGAATGTGGACTATTCAAGCGCAAAAATCCCAAAAGGCCACAAAGACATCGTTCAATTATGGGTGCAGTGTAAAAATAACTATAGACAATTGATTGCCACAATGACCAAATCGAATCCAAATGTTTCCATTGATACGGTTTTTTCGGTCGGTAATTCTTTATCGTTCATTACCACGGGTTTGGAAGCTAATGTGTATCTTAACGGTTATGTCATGGACAACCAAACAACAAGTGCTGAATCTGCTCACGATGTGGGAAACAATGCAGAGTATATGAATGGGGTAGAATAAAAACTACTTCTCGAAAAATTGGTATTTTAAAACGAAACCTAAAAAAAATTTCAATAAAAAGTGAATCAATTTTTTTTTGTCCAATTGAAGTGAATCAAAAAAATTTTGTTCAATAAAAGTGAACCAAAAAAAAAAATTTCACTCGGTTTTTTCAGTGTAAAATACACTAAAATGAATTTTTTTTTAAGTTCACTTTTATTGAACAAATTTTTTTTGGTTCACTTCAATTGGACAAAAAAAAATTGGTTCACTTTTCATTGAAAGTTTTTTTTTAGGTTTCGTGTTTAAACATTTTTCGAGAAGTAATTTTTATTCTACCCCATTCATATGTTCATCAAAACTAGACACGGAAACTGATGAAAAAGTGCCAAACATTGGCGAATCATCGATTCAAAACCTATACACCGTTGAATCGAATAATATGACAAACATTGGCGAATCATCGAGTCAAAACAAGAACACCATTAAAATGGATACAGTTGAAAACAATGAACCATCTGATGAAGATAAAGTATATATGACAATTTTATATTTTAAGCATTTCAGCTGAATTTATCCTAATTTCTTTGAATTTATTTCGCAGGTATGGATCATGGACAAGCAAATCTGCGATGGCATTGAAGCCCGTCTTGGCGATTTCATTTCGATTTACTTTGAAGGATGGATTGAAGGAAAGGACGTATCGTTTAGCCAACACATGTCTGGAACTCCATACAAGTTCCAGTTAGGTAAAAACGAACATATTCGTGGCTGGGATCTTGGCATTGAGGGCATGAAAACGGGATCTATTCGCCGCATTAAGTGTCCGCCATCATTGGCATACGGAGAAGCTGGGCTTTTGTCACTAGTGCCACCCAATGCCACGCTTATCTTCGACATAACACTTCTAGAAGTGAACACCACTGAATAAAATTGAGTGCATACCACTGAAATTAAACGTTCCTTATCATTCAATTACGTTAATATCATTAAATAATAATATTATCCAGTAAAATATCAATAGATTAAATAAAGTTAAAGTTTCAAACCATATGCGCTTGTTGTTCTTGTCGTCGTCTGTACACAAACAACAGTCTGTTGTAACAGTACAAAAACCAAATAATAATAACAATATAGAAAGAGTAAGCGAGAAGAAAACAATTTAACGAAAAAAGTAAAAACTATAAATTCACACAGAGAGATATTTTGTTGCTTTGTTGAATTTGCTTGCTGTTTATTTCTTTCAATTGAATTTTTCGAGGCTTGCTGTTTGTTTCTTTCAAGTGGATGTACAAATGATCGAAACAAATCTTTTTCTTTCTCTCATTCATCGCATTGAGTGTTGGCACGTATTTTTTTCTTTTTGTTATCGTTTGTATATAAATATCGGTTTGCGTAGCATCAATCTGTTTATTTTTCTAATGTCAATGCGAGAAAAGGTCTCAGAAATAGAAATAATGGCGGTGTACTCATAATTTTGCTACATATTTTTCTTTAATTTACTATTATTAAGTGTACACCAGATTCTTGCAAGAGCGATTTCAATTTTTTACTACGCATAGTATATGCCCAAAATTAAAAAAATGCAGTAAGTATAGTGTATGCATAGTGTATCAAAAATTTCAGAAATTTCATACTATGCATATATTATGCATACTATTATACAAAAAAGCATTACACTTTCACCCACGCCATATGCATACATTCCATACAAACAAGCATTACACAGTGCTCATTGGGATTTCAACCAAAAAGAGCCTGAAAACACTGGAAAAGGAAAAAGTTACGTTCAATAATTGAAAACGACTTATTTTATGCACATCCCATTTTTATTTAAAATCCACTATATATATATATATACACATATCTTGATACAGAAATTAAATTGTGCATTAAGAGTGTTTATTATTGTGTGAGTTATTTTTGGCGTTTTTATAACATGATTGTAGATGTTGTTTTTTCCGTTAGATCTTCAGCGGATTATCACGTTGGATTTTTCTGTTTATAATATAAAAATTCAATTAATTTCTATGTAATTTTTTCTTTTGCACAATAAGTCGTTTTCAATTATTGAACGTAACTTTTTCATTTTTTTGGGTGTTGGGACAATTTCAATATCCGTTTTTTTAAAGAGTATGGGTTATTAATATATTTGATATTTTTCAAACGGTATTAGTATTCTACTCGTATTATTTAAAATGTTTACCAGAGATGGGACGCGTTCCACTTGAAGCAATTACATTTGTTGCAGACTGAATAGCAGCCCTTGTACGAGATCTTGTTTTTCTGTATTGTGATGTGGTATTTTCTACACCGTTTCTATCAGTTGATATTTGAACATTTCGAGCACTGTTGTGACTAGTTCCATTACTTGTAAGCTGAGTGGTAGCCTATTTACGAGATCTAATTTCCATCTGAACATTGACTCGTCTTGAAATAACTTCAAGGTCCGCTCTGTCAGTTTCGTCCAAAGAAATTTCTTTGTAAATAATCTCACTCTCGTTCCCGTACAACTCAATATCGAATGTCAAATCATCGTCGGTTTCGTTATCGGCATATAGCGTTTTATTTTTTGGGTTTGCTAGTGCATTCAGTAAAAGTTTTGGATTGTCTTTAAATTCAATCCAAAGTTTATTTATCAATTTTGAACGCTTCTTATAGAATGCATTTCTACTGTCTTTTTGCTGAGTTCCGTTCACATAATTTTGCAACTGAGTACTGGTTGCCGCTTCAACTTTTTGCAATGATTCACAAAATAGAAAAAAATTTCCATGTGTTTTAAACAGTTTGTTGATTTTTCCGTTGAACGCTTCGGCATCTGAAGTTGTACGTTTGTTTCTCATATAAACACAAAAATGATAGGGAGTTACGATTTTCATCCATTAACTATTGAAGTAGTTTATGAATGAGGGGAACAAATTTTTGTCTAACATTAGAGATTCTTTACATAGGGTTCCAAAACTTGACTCAAAGTGATGTAATGGTAAAAGTGGCAGACACTGAAATCGTCGGAAAATGTCTTTGTATCTTTCATCGTGCCTGACTTTTTTTTAATAAACGTCACAATCAGCTGTTTCATACATTTGTCAGAATTCAATCCACATCAACATTTGTCAGAACTCATATTTCAACTACTTCATGTTTTGAATAGAAAATTGTTTTTTCTGTTCACATTTTTAAAAAACATTATTAAAAATAGAATTTCTTTTAATATAATACAAGAAAATAAATATAACATAAAAAGTGAAATAATCATTTTTGGTGCAAACAAACTTCGTGTGCAACACACGATTTTATTCGCAATAGTGCAGCGTACACAGACACGTTGTATATATCCGACTGAGCTGATTTATCTTGATGAAAATATCTAAATATAATGTCTGCGTAATATCATCAAATGCAAATATCAATTGTAGCAAGAACAAGCATTCAAGCAGTTTGTCAAGTGTATCGTGTTACAGTGCAAGATAAAAATGGGCAACATTACATTGGGAAAGATTGGGGCACAGGCTCTACAGCAAATCGCTGCAGCGGCCGCTGGCTACGAAGTTGGTAACCAATAATCATACAACAACCAGTAATCAACCCACAACCAATAATCCAACAAGAAAAAGACAACAGCAATATGATTTTATTATTTATAATAATCGCACTGTTGGTTACTATTTTACTTTTGATCATTGGCGTTATCACGTGGAAGATTTTTTTTCAGTCAAGAAAAATCGTGATGAACAAAATGCTTAATGCAAGAAAAGTAAATAACGTGAAACTAAAAACAGTTCGTGTGACACTTTACAGTTAAGCCGACTATCGGCTGTTATTATGTTTGCATGAATGTTATATCAAAAAAAATTTCAAGTTAAATAATAAAAATACAAAGAGATTTTGTTAGAAGCGTACATACATAGGCATACGCGAGAGAATATAAGCACAAGCATACAGGCACAGACATACGTGAGAGACCGACGGATATTATATATAGTTGTGCATAAGAATTGAGAAAAAAAATTCACTTTCTGTGCTCTATACCGAGTCTGCGAGAGTTTCATATAAGGTTGCCATTTAGCAGGCAAATAACAGCCATTAAATAATATGCGAATGTCAATCGTGATTTGAATGATAAGGAATGCGGATTTTTTCATTCTGATTTAACCAGGTGACACAGAAAATTGAGTAGTATTTGAGAATTGAAGAAAAAAAATATTATTTTTTTCCATTTTTCGCGATTTTTTACCATCAATATATGGGGAGCTTGTATGAAAAACACGGAAGACCGCTGAAATGGCACTGTCGTACGT